AGATATCTAAATAATGATTATAAGTAAACCACGGGTCCAAGACGCATGTAGAGGTTCCATTACCTATTCCAAAATTAAAATAATTGACGACGCGCCTCTGTAATTTGATTTGGAATATTCTCAAGAAAGCTTCGATGTTGATTTCTGGGCTTGTATTCATGGCGCCATTTTGAAACCCTGAAAACATTTTTAAATTTGAAACATCCCCCCCCGGAATATAAAATAGCCTTCCGTCCACTATATGGGTCATAAGATGAAGTAATTCCGAACGCGAAATTGTAATCTATATCACGAGCTGCATTATGAATTGTGATCTATATCAGTATATCACGAGTTGTGATATAAACCATGATTTGTAACCTATATCACGAGCTGCATTGTGAATTGTGATCTATATCACGAGTTGTGATATAAACCATGATTTGTAATGTATATCACGTGCTTTCAATATTTATATATTTGGAAGAGTAACCTATTCATCACGAGTTATACTGTATATATTTGCAGTAAATCCAGTAATATATATCACACAACTATGATCTATTTTGTCATATTTGGCACCTCATATACTTTGAAAGATGTGCTCGAAATTTTGAACATATGGTGCAACAATTTATTCACAATTTTATTAAAAGTTCATGCAATCCAATTGGAGAAGTTGTTGACTTTTTCTATCGTGTTGAATTCCAGCAAAGAGGTTCTCCACATATCCATGGATTATTCTGGATCAAAAATGCACCAGAGTATGGTAAAGATTCCGACGAAGATATTACCAATTTTGTAGATAGCTACGTTTCATGTAAAGCTGACTCAGATGATTTAACTGAACTCGTAAATTTACAAAGGCACAAACACTCTAAAACATGCAAGAAAAGAGGAAATGCTGTTTGCTGATTTAACTTTCCTTTACCGCCAATGCCGAGAACTATGATTTTAGAGCCTTTGTCTGAGACTGATCTAGAGGAAAATGTTGCAGATATATTAAAGAAAGCTTTAGGACAGATACGTTCATTATTAGACTCTATTAAAGCTGATGAAACCATGATCTTTGATGAATTTCTCGAAAAGTTAGATTTATCAGAACAGCAATATCTAAAGGCTATACGGCTATCTCTTAAACATAACACTTTGTTATTGAAATGAACGCCAGCTGAGATTAGAATCAACTGTTATAATCCAAACTTACTCAGAGCTTGGAAAGCTAATATGGATATTCAGTACGTATTAGATCCTTATGCTTGTGCTGTTTATATCCTTTCATATATTACTAAAGGTCAAAGAGGAATGAGCAAGTTACTTCGTAAAGCATGTGAGGAAACAAAAGAAGGCAATAAGAATATTGTTAACAAGGTGAGACATATTGGTAACAAATTTCTCAATGCTGTTGAAATAAGTGCGCAAGAGGCTGTCTACTTAGTAATGCAAATGCCTTTGAGACGGTCGTCTCGAGAATTCCAATTTATCAATACATCTGACCCACATGAAAGAACATTCTTGTTAAAAAGTATGGATAAAATTAAAGAACTTCCTGATCATTCTGTTGGTATTGAATCAGATAACATTATTAAAAGATATCAGAGAAGACCAAAGAAATTGGAAAATTTATGTCTGGCTAATTTTGTGGCTTGGTTCAATTGTAAAAGTGACAGTAATAAAAAAAGCAAACTTATATCAAATTCACCATTAATAGATGATTATCTTACAGAGAGTAATTTCCATAATAATGTAGATGATGATCTTTCTGATAAAGAACAGAACATATTTGAAAATGATGAATATGAAATGAAAGGTGGAATGACATTCGTGAAGAGACAAAAGCCAAGAATCATACGGTTGGTTAGATTTAATAAAACCAAAGATCCAGAAAATTATTGTAGAGAACAGATAATGCTTTACACTGCTTGGAGAAATGAAAATACAGATCTTCTGAAAGACTTTGATAATTTCATATCGATCCTGGTAAGTTTCAAAGGTGCGATAGAACAAAACAGAAAACAATACGAGAATCACACCGAAGTTCTTGATCAGGCAGTACAAGATATTGAAAGTGAAGAAAATCTAGTCGCTCCGAATACGCAGTATAGAGATGAACAAGACAGAGAAATTGGGCCAAGTGAATTATTCGGATGCTTCGATCCTGGAAAAGATAAACAACATGCCCAATACGACCTGATAAATGATATTGATATATATCCACGAACAAATTATGATGATGAACTTGTTGTAAAAAGACTGACTGATGCCGATTTTAGAAAACTTGTCCAATCACTTAATGTTGAACAAAAAGAGTTTTTTTACTATGTACTGAACTCTGTCAAGACTGATAAGCTGCCAATGAGACTGTTTTTAAGCGGAGGTGCCGGTGTAGGTAAAAGTACTGTCACTAATGCTTTGTATGAAGCTCTCATAAGATACTTGAATTCTCAACCTCAGAATGATCCTGATGATGTCAGTGTTGTAAAAGTAGCCCCAACAGGCAAAGCTGCTTTCAACATAAGAGGAAATACACTTCATTCTGCCTTTAAAATTCCTGCAAACAGAGGATTCAATTATTGTACACTATATAGAGACAGATTGAATACAATAAGATCTCAGTTACAGAGAATGCAAGTTATTTTTATTGACGAGATATCTATGGTAGGAAGTGCTATGTTTAATTTTCTTGACTTACGATTGCAACAAATCATGGGTACAAAAGAACCATTTGGCTGTCTTAGCATAATAACAGTTGGCGACTTATTTCAACTGAAACCCATGTTCGATAATTGGATATTTGAGAATTCAAAGGATGGTTATGCTGCATTAGCAACAAATCTCTGGCAAAAATATTTTCAAATGTTTGAATTATCTGAGCTTATGAGACAAAGGGAAGACAAAGAATTTGCTGAAATTTTAAATCATATAAGAGAAGGAAATCATACTGAAGCTGACATTGAAGTTTTAAAAGAAAGTTAAACATTAGTCCACAAGATCCTGATTATCCAATATCTTTAACCCATTTATTCAGTACTAATATGGCAGTTGATCAACATAATCATGACTAGCCAGCGTGGCCGGCTCTTTTATAAGTAGAGCCTGCCCGAAAGCCCTAGTCAAATTGATGCCGCCCACTTAGTTAATATAGTTTTGTATAAATGATGACTTGAAATGTCAATTATTGCATATTTTACTATAGCCTGCGCTACATGCTTTCAATAAACTTTTTACAATAGATGGATAACGATTCAACTGCCTGGAAATACAAGCAAAACGTCGGCATTTCGAGCGAAGGCCCTTCGACCATTCAAAATTATATTATGCTTTGCACCTGTTTGGCTACACTACAGTTATAAATATTGCAGTATTATAAATATAATAAATGACTTAGGAAAAGTAAATAGACCCCTTCCCGTGTTATACACTTTGGCAGGCAAATGTATTTTAAAAGCTCCAAAGAGAGCTTCGTATTATTATGGTGTATGAAACACAATGGGGAATGTATTATTTTATATAATCGTAATTTGCCAGCCAGCAAAATATAAACAAGGCAAGGACAGCCAAGGTTTTATACTCTATACCATAGTGACCATATGATAAAATCATACGACATATGCAGTAATAGCAGTATGGCTTGCCTTATTCTGTTTAGATACTGGTATATGTTATACATTTTACACTTTGTCTTTTGAATTTAATATTTTAGCCGAAAGCTAGGTCACAGAGGCTAGGTTTACAACTTTAATATAGCGATGCCGTTTGTTTTTACAGTAGTTATTTTTAAATATTTGAATAAATTAGCGTAACATGTCAATCAACTTGTGGTCAACGTAAATTCAGCCAATCACAATTCTCGGCGGCTGGCTGCCGAGAGTCATCAATTTGACTACGGCTTTCGGGCAGGCTCTACTTATAAAAGAGCCGACCACGCTCGCTAAATCATGACGTTTTCCAGAAATCTTCAAACGAGAAGGTCAACATTAAAGCGATAGACATTGTACTTGGAGATTTATCTGACGGCTTAGAAAACCATGGGCTTGTACTCAGTATGTTCAATACTTAAGGAAGCAAAATATGACCTCACAACAAACATGTCAGTTTTAGATGGTATGACTAATGGTGCTGAATGTATCATCAAGAAAATCGATTACCGAGTAGAAGGTTCATCAAGACCAAGTATTATCTGGGTTTTATTTCAAGAACAACATATTGGGAATGGTTATCGCAGAGAATACTCTTATCTTTACAATCAAAGTATCAATCTCGTTCCCAGAGTATGCCTGTTCGCAGGTTATGTAGTGGCATGACTCTGGGGAAATCGAAATCATTATTTGATTGGCTGCCGCGATCATCAAAGCTGCCATCACAATTAACGCGTGTTTTTTGCAATAATTACGTGTGGACAAACGCGAAGAGAGAATTATCAATTTTTATCAGATTTGAAATGTGAAATCATACAATATAAATCGAAGGATATAATATTAATCGTATGAAATTAGTATTGGGACGTTGGGTATATAATTACAAAATGGCATGGTATTGATGAATGACTTTTTATCGATCTACAGTACGAGTATATTCATAATATTGTATGTGGAAACGATGGCGTATGAACAAGTTTCGTATTTATTCCATGATAACCATGAAAGAATTGGCTAAATGAAATAATCGCACACATTGTCGTGGAGTGACAGCTTTTGCTTGTGTTAAAAACTTGAAGCTTTAAACAATACAGTACATTAGATCTTCTGTTTCATGTTTACTCAGTTTACTTGACATATATGTGCTAAGAGGTAACTTAATTGCACATTATCAATTATGGATTTATGGTCAACACTCAACATGTTGTAGTCCGGTCTTTGTGCTTTTGTAAAGGAGTTATCTATATAAATTTAAGATACCAGGTAGCATCTGTATAAATTATAGAATAATTGATTTAAGAAGTTCCTCAGGTTTAAACATTTGGTTAAAGACCTGCTTTGTAAATTATTGCCACTTGACAGCATGATGTAAGGCTATAACTAAGCCAAACCTGAAACAATTTTTGCATCAATTTGTGTCTGGATAAAAAATAAATAGTGAATTTAAATACAGATGTTTCTTTGTCTGTTGCTATGTGAAACAAAATTGTTTATAGCAATAAGAGTCATTGTTGATCAATACCAATGCTCATTTGCTAAAAATATACAAATATTGATTCCATTTCCAAACTATTATACTATGTGAATATACTGGCAATTAATCCAATTATATATAAAAGGTGATACAGTAGGATTGAAATAGCTACCAGTTTCAATCAAATAACCACTTTAATTTCTGTATCAAGCCTCCTGGGTGTTATTGTTTGATTTATTTGTTTCCCAAGCATCATTGAGGGAGCACTTGTTCTAAATATATGCAATAAGTCTGGTTACCGTTAAAAAATGTAGAGTTACCATTGTACTATATTTTATTAAAATACTGCAGAAATGCAATATATTTCATGATTTTAAGAATTAATTGAATGTGGACTGCATGGTTAAAAGAGGAGGGGGGCTTATTTATTTTTTATTTTTGTATCCAAATGAGGGGGGGGGGTTATTGGAGAGGGGCTTAAAGAGAAGGGGGCTAAATATTGAAATTACAGTACCTCCATTCCTTCCTCTCCCTTCCCAAACATGCTGCAGGAGTGCAGGGGTTAAAGCATGAATTGCAAGGTTGATGTATTGCATGTTTAATATGTACCTGGTAATATGGAGTAATGATGAGCTAGTAAATATATCCTTGCCTATAATTAGTTGCTGATTAAATGTTAAAAGATACAGTGTGAAGCATGAAAAACAAATGGTAGATACCCACTGCAACAAATTTTCAACAAATATATATATATGGATTTGTTCATTTCATTTCTTACTTTTGACACAATTATAATTACAAACACAATGTACTGTCATTTAAAGACTTTATATGTGCTCCATGTATGTATGTTAATGTAATATAATATAATATAAAAAATAATGTGTTTATTGTTAAAACGTAACATGTGATATATAATATTATACCTCAAATTCAAATTGTCCAATCAGGAAGCTTAGTTTGTGCCACATGAGCATGAAATTAATCGCGATATCACGCCTTACATCATCAATTAGTGAGCCTGCGTTCCTTTTGACAATGTTCCACCCATTGGAACATTATTCGCGTAGATCACGCTGGACAACATGCATGACAACAAGATGGCTGACAAAACATATAAAATAGTATTAATGAATAATTCAATTTTAAACCTAAAACCTGGGGCTTTTTCAAATCTAAAACCTGGGGCCTTGTCATTAATATTCCAAACAATATGTGATTCGAAAGAAAAGCGACGATACTTGCGTTAATCCGAAAATAAAACATCGTATTCACGAAGGTATGTGTCAAGTTTTTAATTCTCAACTTGGAGGCTTTTAATTTTCGGTATAATCATTTATAGACCCTCGGGGGATTCGGCGAAATATTAAATATCATAAATATCATCACCACGGGTAATATTTCGCCGAATCCCCCTCGCTCCAGGTCTATAAATGATAACTGTAAACCTCTGACCATAAGCCCTGGGCTTATATTCTTTTGTAAGCAATTTTTGATGGCTTGGGCCCCCCCTAGTAATAAACAAGTCAGACATAAACAGGAAAATAAACAAGTATTCATAACACACTTTGATTAACATAGTAAGCTATAAAGACAATGACATGTAGTGTTTTAAATATCGTTCTCTGCTATATTCAAAGACAATGTCAATGTTAAATAACATAGTGGGATACTGGGCATATATACAGGGGACTTATATTC